GGCGCGCGCGTTCATGTCGCCCACGAAAGATGCGTCGGTAAGTTGCGTGCCTCCATCTTCTCGCGCTCTTGTCTGTCTTCCCGATGCAACTATGTCTTGCCGCTGTCCGATGCCGATGTCTAGATCGAAATGGTTGTCGGCCACTTACGTTGCGATATGTCGTGTGGCTTTGGCAGAGAGGTAGTTGGGGGTGGGGTCTGGCGCTGGTGCTCCAGGACACGGTCCATTGCGTCGCTGTGCTATGTTGGTGGGCCCTCTCGTAGTTGCCCACGTCTGTATGCGCGTCTTGTAGTAGCGCGCATAGGTGCTCGTATTCCACGCGGCGGTTGAACATGGGCGCCCCTTCCATGGCGATCCGCAATGCGTGGAGAAATGCCTCGGGCATGTCGGCGTCGTGCAAGAGGTCGTTGAGCACTCCTGGTGCACGGGGGGGCTGACGTGCAAATTGTGGCACTACGCGGTAGCAGGCGTCCCCGGCTTCCAAAAAGAAGACCATCGCTGATTCTCCTGCACCTCTGGAGTATTCCACGACTTCCAGTGCCGCATGGGTGACGAAGTCGGTAGGCTGATGCGGTCGCGCTCCGCATTGCGCGTCTCCAAATGGCCAGGCGGTGGCGTTCTTGAGTCTGATGCTTAGGAAGCGAGGATGGTGCTTAGCTATGACGTTGTTGAGTAAGATCATCCGCCCTGTTTGTCGGTCAGGCTTTGTTGCGTTGGGCTTGGAGAGAGATGCTTTGCCATCGCGCCCCTGTGTGATAGTGGCTCCGCGGTCGCAATTTGTTCCCGTGCAAGTAGTGGACGATAGATCCTGGCCGTCTCCTTCGGCGCGATCTGGTTTGCGCGTGCGCTGTCGCTTCGCCCCTTTTCTGGTGGCAATGTTGCGAAGCGGCGTGCCATGCAACGTTTAGACTGTGACTGCGTATTTGGTGTGGGTTGTTGTAGTTGTCGGTGGTGTCTTGCGGGCCCATGATCTCGGTGTGCCCGACAATGGCGAAGTAGTCCTGATCTGCTTCAGCCTGCTGTAGTCGATCGTGCAGCGGCTTCCCATGAGGGCCAGTGGCGATTTAACGTTCAGCGGCGATGCGTCCAGGTCTTCCCCTAAATCTCAAGAGCCTCTTGATGCCCCCCATGCTCTCCTGGAGTCGTTGTCGATGTAGGCCTCCTTCGCACCGTCTGCGACGCGCGTGAATTAGTTGGGGCGGCCAATCCCGATAGCAATTGCCTGCTGAGGCGGTGGTGCCCGTAAAAATGCCATCGCTGCAAATTCCATATATTCCACTCGTGCGTAGTTGTATACTATGTCGCCGGCTACTCGTTGTAATCCTGATATCGCCTCTGGGTTGGTCATGCCCCCGTCTGCGATGCTGGTGGGTTTGCGGGTTCCCAAGATCTGGCAGACCAGGTTGATCAGTCCGATCCTCGTCGTCATGTTCTCTCCCTCTTGTCGCATGCGTCGCATCGGCCATGTGCATGCTCTTCCCATGCGGATGAGGGCGAAGGCCGTTGGCTGTAAGGGTGGCTTACTGGGGGGGGGGGGGGGGATCTTGTCAGGCTTCCAAGCCTTTATGCCGGCATCGTGCACTCGTTGTGCAAGATAGCTGGCGTGGTTATTCATCTCCACCACGCAGGATGGTAATTGCATGCCTGCGATGTCGATCTTAAAATTATGTTGAGATCCTGGGTATCGCTGCCCTGTTCGGTCCAGTTGTGCTCCACATGGATTGATGTTGGTCTTCTCGACGTAGGTCAGATCGGCGATGATCAGCCAGTGATATCCATCTTCTCGGCGCGTGTCGAAGTCGTCGAGGACCTCAATGTATTTGACGATCTTTTCTTTTCCACATGGTAAACACACGTAGTTAATGCGCTGCTGTAAAGTATGCCCCACGTGCGCGTGACTGGGTCCATGGGTTTCAATAGTAGTGTCGGCGGCGAAAGGGTTGTGGCTCTGCAAGTAGAAATGGAAGTATGTTCCTCCTCTGTTCCCTTCCTCAGGTTGTCCTTCATCACCAAAATGAAAGGAGATAGTGCTACCCGTGGTGCCGTTGGCGTCGATGGGGATGATGTCGCCGCTGTGCTTGTCAGTCTCGGCGCTGACGTTGTCCCCGTACACGTTGCACTCAAGGTGGTTTGCATGTGAGCGCGGTGCGCGAAGGGCCACAATGGTTCTCTGAGAGCCCAGATGCTGTGAACTTGGCAACAAGTAGTCTGGGGTGCTGTGTCATTATTCACCAGATTTTGGGTTTGGAGTAACATTGTCGCCCCTTGTAGCCATGGTAAGGAAGGTGCGTGATGATTAGCGGCGAGCATCCCAAGTTGCATTTGTCGTGTCCGCTCGAGATGATGGCGCATTGATCGGCGGTGTGTGCCCCGCGCGGTAGTCGCGACTCCTGCGCCCCAACGGTGCGCACTTCGATGTCGGAGAGCTGTTGTCGGGTGACTGTGGGTCTTGCAATGTTTCTCTTCTTGTCGCGACCCTTGCTTTTCGGGGATCTTGAAGGAGCGTGCGTTGAAGGTGCGCGTGCGGACGTCGATCTGCTTATCGTTGGGGGTCTCGGTGTATTGTGGTATGAAGCGTACTGGTCGAGCGTTTCTCCGAGCGGGGGGTGCCTCCAATCCTTGCTGGTTGATATTTGAGTAGGCGTCCTTTCACATGGCAGCACATTCTGCAATTCGCACGCAGAAGCCCAGGAGGAGGAGGCAGAGGAGGAAGGGGGGCAGGAGGAAAGAGGCAAAGGCGGCAGAGCGAACGCAGCAGTAAGTGACAAGTGAGGACACACGATGGGAGACAACTGATCCCTATCACACCAAGGCGGGAAGAGCAGCAGTTGGAAAAGACACGCGGGCACTCACGAGTAGTAGTATAGGTGGAAGTTCACGTAGATGTCGTAGAAACGCAGGTCGCCGTCACTGGGGTGGGTGGAGGCCGAAGGGCGCCTGGAGACGGGTACCGTGGCACCAGTACGTCCAGGAACCCAGCTGCGCAACGACCCGCGCCTGGGGCTTACATTGAATTGTGGAGTCGGGTCGGAGACGGAGCAGAAGTCAGAGGTGCCGTCGTAGCCGGATGTTGCGTTGGATCCGGCGTTGGTGTGGAAGCCAAAATAAGGTGTGGAAGCCAAAGTAAGCGTCGGAAATGAAGTCGGAGTTGGAGTCGGTGCCGGTGTCGACCGCTGGAGTGGGGAAGCGCTGTTCTGTGTAGCAGCGGGCGTGAAGGAGCCTGTGGTGACCGTCGGAAGTGGAGCCACGCCGTGGCGGAGTCGGAAACGTGATTCTGGATATCGTGGCTGTGCTGGGGATGCGGGTGATGGGGCACACGGAAGTAGGATTGGCAAGTCGTGATCGCGGTCGAAAGGGCGGGTTGTTTTGCAGAGGTGGGCGTGCGTGGCGGCCTTTGTGTTCCGGCCTCGCTCAAAGGGCAATGGCCTGTTTGGCTGTCGGTGAAGCTGCCGAGCAGATTTGCTTCTCGGACATCCACATCCGTTTCGATTTGGTGTCCGTCGTGCTGCTCGTGGTACGCGCCGGGCTGCACCTCGTACCCGTCGTGCTGCTCGTGGAATCCGCTGTGTGACTCACCCGTCGTGCTGCTCATGGTGCCTTCCTTGCTGCTCCTGGTGCCCGTGGTGTTGCGCATCCGCCGTGCTGCTCCTGGTGTCCCGCGTGCTCGTCGACGTGTAGTTTTTGGTTTCCGTCGTGCTGCGCGTGGTACTCGTCATGGAGCTCGTGGTATCCGTCGTGCTGCTCCTGGCACCCGTCGTGCTGCGGATGACATCTGTCGTGCAGCTCGTGGTGCCCGTCGTGCTGTAGCTCGTATCGGTCGACGTGGGCGGTCGATTATTGTTGCATTGTTTCGTTGTTGTCGTCCTCCTTGCCCACGACCCACCCTTCGACCAACCCACGACCTACCCCGCGACCCACCCGCGACCCACCCCGCGACCCGCCATACGACCAACCCGCGACTCACCCAAGTTGCCATCACGGAAAAAATGGCGCCTGCGGCGGGCTCGTTGTGTAACGTGTAAAAAAAATCGGCGCCTGCGGCGGCCTGCTTTAGAACATCGCCGACTGCCGACGACCCCGCCGCTCCCTCACTCCTATCCGCACTTGCGGAGGGCTCTTGTCGACCACTTGGTTTACTTTATCGAACCTCAACTCGATCTCCTCTCCATTATACCATAGATTACATTTCCTCTCTCTGCTCAGCTCTGTCCTGAACTGTATGACACGTCTCCCCACTCTCTACTATCGACCCTCTCATTCTGAACGTGGTGGTTTCCAAGACACAAACGTAATCAATCAATGGAGAAACGGGTCTGGACTGGTAACCAGGTCGCCTTTTTACCGAAGTCGGTGCGCCACCTCCACATAGTCTTTCACTGGAATTCTTCAGTGTAAACACTGCTTGGGGGAGATCAGGAATCGGATCGATCGGATCGACAGGGATCCTAGGTGGGAGGGTGGGTGGACCTGGGGGGTGGGCGACTCGGCCGCACGCAAACGAAGAGTGACCATTGACCATCGGCAAACGGAGACCTATGGTGGGACACGTCGATCCTTGCATGCGGTGCGACAAAGGCGCCCGCATGCTTGGGTTCTGGGTCTCCCCCCCCGCCACCGCGCCCCCCGAAAGCCGCGCAACAAAGGCCACACTGGCGACGGGGCACTTGGCTTTCACATTACAGTTCGGGCCTCTGGCAACCGTTCGGGACGATCGGACGTTCGGAACGCTCTTGTCGAGGCGCAGCTGCCGGAGCGCATGCCCGAGCAGGACAACCTCCAGGAGCCCACGAAAGCACCCGAAAGCTGAAACGAAAACGCCCAACACTCTCAAGCTGGAACGCGCGCGCCCGAGAAAGCTTCAGCCGCAAGCCGAAACATTCTCCATTCTCCGTTCTCCCCAGCTGGAATGTTCAGAATCTTGGCCAGCAGTGGCCCGAGGGTAGGGTCCCGAGGGTGGGAAGCCCAGTCGGGAGGCTCTTGCCGGAGCGGGGGCGGCGCGCCCTGTGCCACGACCCGTCCGACTCGAACAGCCTCTCGTTGTCCATGAGGCCCCCGGAGGCCGTGGCACACGGCAGGCCCAGCGCGTGCGCCAGCGCGGCACCCAGCCTGCAGGGTAAGAGGCAGGGGGCAGAACCCCGCGGGTCACGAAAACAACACGGCGGACGGATTTGCTCGTAGTTTTCGGCCTCTGGGGGCCCTTTCCGCCCTTGACTGCGAGTCAGGGTGAAAAGCTGGCACCAGGGAAGGGAACGAGACCTCTCCCCATCGCTCGGACGTCCATTCCCTTTTTATTGTTCGACTTCGTTCGTGTTTTTTTTTTTTGCTTCATGATCCAATATGCTCCTCGATGATCCTCGCCGAAAAGATGGCACACGTCCGAACGATGCCAAAACTTCTGGGGGGCCCCAGATCACGAAACACTCACGGCGTCGGGCGTGTGGGGAGGTGCAGCGACCGAGGTGGAGCGGGCAGGACCCCCATCGCAACCTCGCGCCCTGCGCCGATGCATTCAGGGTGCGCCGCGATCCACTGGCCCCATCTGCTCTGGCCCTTCTTCGGAGGCCTGGTCATGCCTCTGGGGCGGCCACAAAGGGGGCGTCCACGAGGGGGGGCGCAATCCATGGCCAGCGGCATGTGCGCGGCCCAAAAGAGGGGGCCAGGCACGTAATGAAATACCACTTCGAGTAAGGGATTGACTACAGAATTGAAGTACCCCAACCAACATTGATTTGTTCGTCGAGGCTACAAAAATACATGAAATGCTCCGTAGAGCATTCCACGAATTCGTTCTTAGATTAGAATAACAACATCTATCTTGGGGTAAATCAATTATGTTGTCGATCCCCCAGTCGAACCAACTAATTGTGCCCCACATCGAGGCGCATCGCCGATCCGTCTGCGATGCGGCGCGATCCTCCGACCCCATCAGCTCCGGCCTCCTCTGGGAATTCGAGAGCACACCGAAGCCTCACCAGCTGGCGGTGGCCCCCGTGGTGGTGGTTCGAATAGGGGATTGACTACAGACTCGATGTGCCCACGAAACTGATGTTCCCTCGCATGCGCGAGCGCCTTCGCAGAATGCTCTGCGGAGCATTCTACGTTTTTTTGGTAGCCTCGGCGAACAAATCCCTCCTGGGGTACCTCGACGCTGTAAGTCGACCCCCTGCCCGAAGTGGCGGTGGTGTCGCCCCAAATTCTCCGACGCGTGGGCCTTCAGAAGGGGGGGCGGGCGGCAAGTGGAGGAGGAGGGGGCGGAGGAGGAGGAGGAGGAGGAGGAGGAGGAGGAGGAGGAGGAGGAGGAGGAGGAGGAGGAGGAGAGGAGGAGGAGGAGGGGGACGAGGAGGGGGACGAGGAGGAGGAGGAGGAGCAGAGCAGAGCAGAGCAGAGCAGAGCAGAGCAGCCCAGATCCTCATGGAGTCCCTGTCAAGCAACCGACCGCGAGCCCGAAACAACTTGACTGTACTTTGAGAGGGTTCCTTTGAAACCCAACGACTAACGATGCAAGCCCCTTCTACGGCTCACAGCACAGACTGCACTGGCCGAAGGACACTCCGATAAGCACGCGATCCTCAGGGGGGGCCATGCAACAGGCGCGGCGACCTCGTCTTTCCCCCCGCCAGCCAGAGCTCGCCCAACGCTTCCCCCTCCCACGGATTCGGCCGCCTCGGCCACGATTGGGAAGCAGATTAATTACAAGGATCTCACGAACCGTGCCTGCTGCGGTAACTTCTACCTTCTGGAAGATTAGCTTGGGGCCTGCTTGCAGCCCGCCCTATTTGTTCATATGTTAAACTACCTGCTGCTACAAGCGATGTTATTATTGCACTGTGTTGCCGTCATCGGGAGCCTACTTGCTAAAATCTCACGACTGTCGCTTATACTGCTGCTACCTTCACGTGCTAAACAAGGGCACCTCGATACGTGATCCTACGCCGTCGTGTCCTTCCGATCGAGATACTTCGAGATCTCCCTCTCCGACGGTCCCCGCGGCGCCGCTCCTGAAAGGAAGGAGTCCCCGTCCACCGCCACCAGCGTCTCCACCACCGGGCCAATGACCGAGCCCAACGCATGATGGGTGTCCACTTTGAAGAGCATCGTAGCTTTGTCATTCTGACCCTCCACCTTCCGATGTACATGAACTCGAAAGTACTGGTACTGGACCGCACGGGCGTCTACGGGCAGCAGCACCTCCGAAAGCTGCTCGTCCCATAGGAAGCGCATGTCCTTCTTGAGCTTCTCGGCCCGTTCGCGCGCCGTGGGGCCCGCTCCTTCTTCCACCGCCTTGGTAGCTCCGTACTCCCATGCTGCCACGAATATTTGTAGATGCGGGGCGGCGCTTGACTTGTGGTCCACTGTCTCGTCACCGTCGGCGCGCTTCTTCTTCTCTCTGCTCGTCTCGTTGTACGCCGCACCTGCCGCGACCGCAGCCGCGATCAAGCCCTGGCCAGCGTCCACCTCGCACTACGGGTACACTACGGCTCCCAAGTCTGCGGGCTCTCAACTGTTGGCCGAGATCAGCTGGCATATAACTACTAGGATGATTATGTCGAACAGAATGCGACCTCCCTGGCTGCCCGACGCCGTCTTGCTTCTCTTGGAGTCGGGCGGGGCGCCATCGGCTCTTGGGGAGCTGGTACCTTTGTACTAAGCAGGTCTCTGGAGAGCCTCTGCTTCCATGATAAAAAGCCGTGTGCGTCAATATGGATGGTACGAGAAGTGGACACGGAGGGCGCATTCTGGACAGGCAAATGGCTTCGGAGATGGCGACAGAGAGATAGTGCATCGACCCCCACAGAGTCACAGCATGGGCACTCATAAGAAGACGGGGTGACCATCGGGTTCAGTGTGCGGGGTCCACATGTAAGGCAATCGCCCTTCTGTAGAGAGCGTAGTAGATGTCGTGCTGCGGTGACTTGCGTCTCGAAGGTCTGCGAACAGTGTATACATACACTGCTTGGCGTGAGTAAATCGGGACCACGGGCCAGGGCGAAGACGCCGCCTCCCGAGAAAAAGCTGGGCCTGAGGCCGCCGGCGGCGCGCGCCGGCAGAAGGCCACGGCGCCGGAGGCCGGGAGAGGGAAGGGAGGTGATCCGGAATGCCGAGGAGGGGACCGGGGGGACGGGGGGGGGGGGGGAGGGGAAGGGGTGAAGAGAGGATGGGAATGGGAGATCCAGTCCAGAATCCGGAAGCCGGAAGCCGGGAGCCGGGATTCCGAACTCCGAACTCCAGGTCACAACGGCGCACTGAGAGCGTCAGGCCCGAGGCGCGCCGAAGAGCGAGAAGCCGAGAGGACGCACGTGCTCTGATCCGCCGTCCGCCGGGCAGAGACCCTCCCAGACCACTCCGACGCCGTGGTGGCCAGGGACGGACGGAAAAGGGGAGTGGAGGAGGCCAGGCAGTCGAACCCCAGAGGGGGTTGCGCCCGACGAGGCGCGACGCGCGGTTATCCTCTCCCCGCGGCGCCAGGCGGAGGTGGAGGTGGAGGTGGAGGAGGAGGAGGAGGAGGAGGAGGAGGAGGAGGAGGAGGAGGAGGAGGAGGAGGAGGTTCAAAGTAGGAGGTGGAGAGGCGAATCTGGCGGAGCATGCCTCTTCTGCCGCTCCCCGTTCACCTGCCCCTGCTGCTGCCCCGTCCTCGACTTTATCCGCCTCTTCGTCCCTCTCCTCCTCGTCATCCTGCCTCCTGTTCCTCTCCTCGCATGCTCCTGCTCGTCGTGGCCCTCCTCGCCGCCGTGCTCTTCCTCCTCCTCCTCTTTCGTCGTCGTCGCCATCATCCTCCTCCTCCTTCTCGACGGCGATGCAGGAGAGAGGAAGATGGGCGGACGACGACGACGAGGATGAGGATGAGGGCGAGGGAACGAAGAGGATGCGAAGGACGACGATGAGGGGGATGATGATGACGAAGACGACGAGGACGAGAAGGACCAAGAGAGAGGAGGTGACGACTCGGAGGAGGACGAGGAGGAACCGCACGATACAGAAGGCAAGTTCTAACCTCGCACCCAATGTGTCCGAACTGATCTCGCCCGCCTGCAAGACGGGATGGAGGGCCCGTCCAGGAATACCCCCTCGCGAAGCGGCTTGTGCATGGGACCTCGTTTCGTATCTCTATAAGAAGGGAACAGCAAGTGCATATAGTTCACCTTTTGGAGATCCGCGCGATTCTTGTTGCATCAGCGCCGGACCCCCCTCCGTGGCGCGGGGAATGCACCAGAGGCGACGCCAGCCGCCAAGGGAGTGCAGCGCCGCTCCAAGAAAACCGCCCCCATCTCATGCTGTTGTTTCTCCTTCGAATCTCAGCGGGCCAGGCGTGGGGAGCACATGCACGACGCCGAAAGCTCCGAAGTCATGGCTACGTCCCGCTCAGGTCACGGGCCTCCTGGTCTTCGCCGGGAGGAGGACCACCGTGGACGCGGGAAGGGGCAGCGAGGGAAAAGGAGAGGCTCGCAAATTGTGTAACATTGGTGAGGCTTCAAATTGTGCACAGACAGCCCCCGCAGGTAGTCCCAGCAAGCCTCAGCAGGCCAACCCCGAATCGTCTGGGCCGTTGGGGCGGTCTCAACACACTGGCGCCGCATCGGGCAGCGCCCCGGTGGCGATCCGCGCCCAAGGGTTGAGGTGCTGAGACCGCCCTGGACCACTCCGGGGGCATGTGCAGGCCAGCTGGGGCTACAGGGGGGGCTGTCTGTGAGCAGCCCGAAGCCTTCCCAGGGGAAGTGGGGCACGAGGAAAGGATCGCGAGCGGCGTAACATTGGTGAGGCATCAAAGTTCGCACAGACAGCCCCCCCTGGGTAATCCCAGCTTGCCTCAACAGACCCCCAGAGTAGTGTGGGGCGGTCTCAACACCCTGGCGCCGCCTCAGGCAGCGCCCCTGTGGCGACCTAAGCCCTAGGGTTGAGGTGTTGAGACCGCCCCAGACTACTCTGGGGGTCTGTTAAGGCCAGCTGGGGCTATCGGGGGGGCTGTCTGTGCGCAACCCGCAGCCTTCCAAGGGGAAGTTTGAAAGGATCACGAGCGGTGTACAGTCGGGGCGTTGACCTAAGGAACCCCAAATAAGGAACGAGGCCCCTTTTTTCCACAAGTTGAACTTCGATTTCGTATCGAAAACATAAGGAAAACCTAAGGCCAGCTGCGAAACAATGAAGGAACACGGAGCCCCTCCCCAACGAGAAGGGTTCCTTCTTCGGGGCCCCGACTGTAAGATTGGTAAGGCGTCGGATTGCGCGCAGACAGCCCCCACGGGTAGTCCCAGCAGCTGGCCTCAACCTCTGGGACGGTCTGAACACACTGGCGCCGCCTCAGGCAACGCCCCGGTGGCGCTCCGCGCCCCAGGGGTGAGGTGCTGAGACCGCCCCAGACTACTCGGGGGGGCCTCTTGAGGCCATCTGGGGCCACCGGGGGGGAGGCTGTCTGTGTGCAACCCGAAGCCTTACCAGGGGGGGTGGGACAAACTGAAAGGATCACGCGCGTTATAACATTGGTAAGGCTTCGGATTGCGCACAGACAGCACCCTCAGGGTAGTCCGAGCTGGCCTCCACAGGCCCCCCCGAGTAGTCTGGGGAGGTCTCAAGACCCTGACGCCGCCTCAGGCAGCGCCCCCGTGGCACTCTGGGCCCCAGAATCGAGGTGCTGCGACCTCCACAGGCCAGTCGGGGGGCGCCTGCTGAGGCCAGCTGAGGCTACCGGTAGGCTGCCTGTGGGCAACCCCGAGCCTCACCAGGGGGAGTGAGGCAAGCAGGAAGGAAGGATCGCGAGCGGTGCGCACAGACCCCCCCCTCGGGTAGTCCCAGCTGGCCTCGACAGACCCCCCCGAGTAGTCTGAGGCGGTCTCAACACCCTGGCGCCGCCTCGGGCAGCGCCCCGGTGGCGCTCCTCCGCGCCCCAGGGGTGGAGGCGGCCATGTCCACAGCCACGCCCTCGCGGCCTGGGCTCCAAGGCGCGATCCTGGGGAAGCGTCGTCGCACGGATGCGTTGCGCGCGGGGCATCCGCGAATGCACGTCGAGCGCCCATGGGGCCGCGGCCCCGCGAGGCCGTGGATGTGAATAAGTTTCCCGCACGCGAAAGCAGAGAGATTTGGGAAGCCCTCCAATAAGAGCTGTCCGATTCCTGGAACAGAAAGGAAGCCACGACTGGTCCCAGACGTCCTTTTTATCATGACAGCGATGTATTGGAACCGTGGTGATTTCCAACTGCCGGGGAGAGGGGAATGGGCAGGACGGTGGGGGAGGGGGAAATATGGATTACCAAGCTCACTATAGACTTAAGAGGTACTTCAACCAATCTCTAGGGATGGAGCTTTCATCGGGGAAGTACTCGGGCAACTTGCGGAAGATCCGTGCTGCCAGAAACAAACACCTGTCCGACATCGGGCACCCGTAAAGTACACGGGATGACCGAAACCGAATGTTAGGTTGGGCATGTCCTCCTACAGGAGGATCGTTTACGACCAATTAAAATAACCAAAACATTAACAAGCACAGCGAAAGAACGCGGGAAATCGTCAGCTGACTCTTTTCTGCTATCCTTGACTGTTCCTGCTGTAGATGGATATGCCCGACTTTAACCGAATGTCAGGGGGCGACAGCCGAGGAGGGAGGAGGCCCGACGCAGGAGCCACGAGGAAGACGGACGACGGGTAGGAGGCAAGGCAGGACGCGGCATGGACGACAGGAGAAAGGATGATGAGGAGCCGGAGGAGGATGTCGGAGGCACACCGCGCGGGGAAGGCTCAAGTTCGAGGCTCGAGGTTTTCGGACGTGTTCGTCGGTCCTCGGCGGCTTTGTAGCCTCGGCATGCATTCCAGCGGTGCGCCTCGCCGAAAGCGTTCCGAGGGTGTCCGGATCAACCCGAATGGTCTCTGGAGATCCGAGCTATGGCCCGAAGACCAAACTCGGTGGCGCGCCGAAGGCAGGCCTTCTCAGAAGGCGGCGGGGCTTCGGAGATGACCAAGAAAGCTCCCCAAAAGTTTCGAGCCTTTTCAGGAGGCTCGCCCCCTCCGCCGTCCCCGCTGGGCGCAGCCGCCGAGGGAGAAGGGAACGACGATGAAGATGACGAGGACAGCCTGCTCCAGCAGGATCCCGACGCGACACGCCGCCGCCAGCGCGCTCCAGGGCTGCTGCCTGGTGCCGTCGCAGGCCTGGCGGGCTCACACAGTGCCCAGCTTGGAGAAGAGGATGACCGCGCACACGACCAGGAACAGCTGCACGGCGAAGTACGAGAACATGCCAAGAAGGTAGTACTTGAAGCCTTCGTCCTGGTAGGCGTTCACCTCGTCGATCGGATCCTGCATCCAATAGAAGAACAGCGGGTGTACTGCTCTGATGTTGTACGCGGCCTCCGCTTGTTGGACCGCCAGTCTGAAGAACGCGCGCTGGCCATCGTTCATTAGCCGCAGGCCCGCATGTGCGCTGGGGTTGTTGAACTCGCCACAGTGGAAGTCAGCATCGCTTCCAGAACAGCAATTCATGCCCACGGCCCAGAAATCGTAAGACTGCAGGGTCTTGTACGTCACGTTCTCGTCCCCGATGGTGATGGGCGCCACGCAGTACGTCTCCAAATTCTTGAAGCCCATGGAGCGCCGGAGGTCGAGTTTCGACTCAGGTGTGAAGACAATGCGACCAGCATCCATGAGCTGCTGTCCCCGGAACTTCGAAGGATCGACCTGCGGGTACGTGTTCAGATTCGTGACGTCATAGAAAGGTTGCAAGTTCTGGAAGAAATTGATATCTCCGAACACCCAACCACAACCCCACGCAAGAAGAAGCGTCAAGAACATAAAAATGTACCAAGTGGGCTCCTTGCCCACTCCGGCTATCTTCTTCCTTGTCTCGACTGCGGCGTGGAAGCCGCTCCAAAGCACGACCACGAAGCATAGGCCGACAATGAGGTAGGCGAATGTAGGCTGCTGGTAGTGAATGGAGAAAGACATCACCGCGAACACAACAGAGAACATTGCCCATGGCAAGAACAACGACATGGCAATAGAGACTATATTCATTCTCTTTCTCCCGCGAGGCTCGAAGAACCCCTTGGACATGCCGCCATTCGAGATACCGTACTCAGGATTATATGCAGAATGCTGCGCAATATGGCCGTCCATGTAGCCGTTGGAATAACTCATGTCTGACAGACTTGCTTATCTGCGCTCTCGGATAAGGAGGAGTCGACGGTCCAGCTATGTGGGGGTTACAGCGCTGGACTGCCTGTCGCATCATGCTCTTTGAGCAAACATCACGACGTAATCCAGGGAGCAACGAAGACGGGGACATGAGAAAGCACAGGAGCGGGAGGAGCATGACAGACCCTTGCCTTGCCCTCCTCCTGCTCTCTCGCCCCCTCCCTGCTTGCCAAATCGGCAGGGGGCGAGTCGCGTGGCACCTGGAGCGCGTCGCGTGGCCCCTGGGGCGCACCGGGCGTCTGCTCGCACTACTTCTTCGTGCCCAAGAGGTCCCCAAGACGGGCCGAGAGGGCCTCAGGAGGCCCCCAGGACGGTCCTCGAGGGCCCCGACTCGCCGCACGATCGGTCCAAGACGCCCAAGATGGTTTCAAAATTGCCCAGGAGGCCTTCGAGACGCCCGAAGAAGGCCCCCAAAAGCCTCCCGAAGAGGGCTCCGAGAGGCCTAATCATTGATTGTCCCTAAATCATTGATTGTCCCAAAAGCCTCCCCAAGAGGGCTCCCAGCACTTCAAACCTCACCCCCCTTCCTGTCCCCAGGAAGCAATGCTGGGCCTGCCCAATTCCCTGTCACAGGGTGCGCCCACTTCCCTGTCATAGGGGGTGCTCAATTCCCTGTTCCGGGGGGGGGGGGGGGGGGCGTATCCCCACCAGCTGGGTTGCAGCACCCTTGCACCCGCCGCCCCGGCGCCGGCCGCGGCCCGCGCGCGCGTCCGGCCAATTAGTTTCGGCCGCAGCCCGACCGTTACTCGCCGCCGCTGGCGCTTCCGCCCGCGGCTGTAAAAAAACAAGTATCCCCACCAGCTCACCGCTTTAGGTTAATTCGTCTTGGCGCGCCCCGCTTAGACTGGACTCGCCGCTGGCGCGCTCGCCTGCGGCCGCTGACTAAAAAGTATCCCCACCAGCCCATCCAGAAACTATGTCCGGGCGAGTTGAAGTGATCAGGGAAGTGCGGCAACAAAGAGGAGGACGGCCGAACCGTGCGAAGGAGTGAGGAGGAGAAGGAGGATGTGGATGGATGGACGGATGAGGGAGTGGGAAGACGGAGGATGAATAGGATGAGGAGGAAGCGGAGGAGGAGGAGGAGGAGGAGGAGGAGGAAGAGAAGGAGTAGGAGCAGGAAGGAGGAACAGGAGGAGGAGCAGGGCAGACACAAGGGCCAGAGGTCTCTTGGATGCCTCTCGGAGCCTCTTGAAGTATCTCTTGGGCGATTATTTGTGGCCTCTTGGGACGTCTTGGGTGTCTCTTGGCGATCCTGGGGGGCTCTCCCGGGTGCCTCGGGGGGGGGCTCTTGGTTGAGGGAAAAAAAACTACCCTACCCTGGGTTACAACTGCGTGGTTTGTAAACCTCCTGGGACCCCCCAAAAGCCTAGAGCCGCCAGGGCGCGGCACATCACGCAGGGTTTACCCAGTCAGCCCACAGGAATTTCAGCGCACAGCGCCTCGTAAACCAGGGTCAGGGGCGTTTTTTCTGCCCTTGACTTGGGGCGCTTAGGGTCTTCTTGGGGGCCTATTGGGGCCATCTTGGGACCTTTTGCGGCCTCCTGGGCGTTTCTTGGGGCCATCTTGGAGGAGATCGGTCAACGAAGGGGGGGTCGTCAATTACGCCCCCCCCCCAGGAGGCCTAAACGGGGCCAAAACCCAAATATATTCAATGAGTTTGACTTCCTCGCCGAGGCCGTTTTGGACGTTCTAAATACCTGCGGCCCCCCCCGTCCAGGTCCACGGGGACGGGGTAGGGGGAGGGGTCAAGACGCCCTCCCCGCCCGCAAGCCGTCTCGCTCACTCCCACCCGCCCTCCCAACACATACGCAGCACCCGAACCTGACCCGAGACTCAGCATACGCAGCAGTCGTCTTTGGATGGGCATCTACTGGTGGCGAATCCGCCGCCGCCGCTGCCGCCGCCGCCGCCGCCAGCCGCCGCCGCCGCCCTCGCTGCCGAATCGCCGCCGCTGCAGCCGCTGCCGCCGCAGCCGCTGCCGCCACCGCTGCCGCCGCCGCCGCCGCCACCGCCGCCGCCGCCGCCGCCGCCGCCGCCGCCGCCCCTCGCTGCCGAATCGCCGCCGCTGCCGCCGCTGCCGCTGCCGCCGTCGCCGCCGCCGCACCCGCCGCCGCCGCCACCACCGCCGCCACCACCGCCGCCACCGCCGCAGCCGCCGCAGCCGCTGCCCCCGCCGCAGCCGCCGCCGCCGCCGCCGCCAAGTGTATTATGTATCGTTTTGGTGACAGGGATGGTGGGGGGAGGCCGCATCGGGTTCGCTGCGCATGCTCTGAATTTTGAGGAGAATGTGTTTTCTAGTTTTTTTTTACAAGGGATGGTGGGGGGGGTGCCCTCATGGACTGGGGTTGGCTCCCACTCGTCTGGGGGAGGGGGTTTATATTAATAGGGAACAGTGTTAAACTCATCCCCGAATCGCCCTAAACCACCGACGCCCAGAGGGCTGGTGGGATTCCCTGACACAGGGGGCCCAAACGTATCACAATAAAAACTAGCGCTGTCTTAAAAAACAGTCGTCGCAATGCCAACTCTCGTATCATACGAACCACCCTCTCGTATCACCAGAACGACGCGTCCATGTCATACAAAGAACTCACATAATCGTAAGAGCAGGCAACTTTTTCCAGCTTAGGGACAGTGGACTCCTCCAGGCGAGGCTGCAGGTTGCAACCACGCGGCTATTCGAAGAATCTGTCTTGAAATAGCCAATGACTACAACACAAAAGCCAACGCTCACATCACAATCGTCTCGTTCCTTACCGTCGAACACCAGGTCTGGACCCCTTCCGCGAGGCTGAATTTGCATCATGAATGATCCCACCAGCCCTCTGGGCGTCGGTGGTTTAGGGCGGTTCCTCTTCCACCCCTCCCTCTTCCCCTTCGGGGGCGGGTTTACCCCTCCCCCTCTCCCCTCCCCTGGACCTGGACGGGGGGGGGCGCGGGTAGTTCGAGCGTCCAAAACGGCCTCGGCGAGGAAACCAAACTCATTCAATTTACCCAGGTTTTGGCTCCATTTCGGCCTCCGGGGAGGGGGGTGCGTTATTGAGGAACCCCCCTTCGTTGACCGATCTCCTCCAATATGGCCCCAAGAAGCGCCCAGGAGGTCCTAAGAGGTCCCAAGACGGCCCCAAGATGGCCCCTAAGAGGCCCCCAAGAGGCCCCCAAGAGGCCCCCAGGAAACCCCCCAAAAGACCCTAAACGGCCCCAAGAGACCCCCCCACCGAGGCACCCCGGAGAGCCCCCCAGGATCGCCAAGAGACCCCCAAGACGCCCCAAGAGGCCACAAATAATCGCCCAAGAGATACCCCAAGAGGCTCCGAGATGCAGCCAAGAGACCTCTGGCCCTTGTGTTTGCCCTCCTCCTCCTCCTCCTCCTGTTCCTCCTTCCTGTTCCTACTCCTTCTCTTCCTCCTCCTCCTCCTCCTCCTCCTCCTCCTCCTCCTCCGCCTCCTCCTCATCCTATTCATCCTCCTTCTTCTCACTCCCTCACCCATCCATCCATCCACCTCCTCCTTCTCCTCCTCACTCCTTTGCACGGTTCTGCCGTCCTCCTCTTTGATGCTGCACTTCCCTGATCACTTCAACTCGCCTGGAAATCGTTTCTGGATGGGCTGGTGGGGATACTTTTTTAGTCAGCGGCCGCGGGCGAGCGCGCCGGCGGCGAGTCCAGTCGAAGCGGGGCACGCAGCGACGAATTAAACTAAAACGACGGAGGGGGGCCACACCTAAAGCGGGAGACCAGGCCCTCACGCAACAGCTCAGCGGCGGACCGGCGAGTGGGGGGGGCAGCTGAAACTGAGTCGTACTGCCAGCGCGCAAGTATGCATAGCGTCGGGAATACCAGGAAGTCGGGACACAACAACGACCAGGGCAAGAAGCCGAAATGAATGGAAGGACGCAACCCCGGACAACTGCGTAATTACCAGGGTGGCCCGAAGGACCGTCGGTCAAATAATTAATTAAGCCGGGACGAGGCGAAAGCGCTGGCAGGCTGCGAAATCCCAGGGTGGCCGTAGCCGCATGGTCCCGAGGCAGCAGAACGCACGAGTGCGGGAAGCAGCAAAGATGCCACGCAGCGAAAATGGCGAGGGTCACCACGGACCAGTGCGTGAAGTGGCGCCAGGTTGAACCACCGCGAGCCCTGAACACGGCCACGAGCTCGAAGTCAGCACACCAAGGTGGCGACAGGCGGGCGAGGGCACCACGGGGAAGACCCAAGCCTGAGCCCAGGGAATGGGCCGCACGTGGTGGGGGCGCACGAGTCAGAGCGGTGCCGAAGACGGCCGACGGCCCCGTTAACCGCGATTTGAGCGGCAAAGCGAAGGCCAGTACGGAGGGGGACGACACCACCGACCGACGAAGAGATCCGAGGCCGAGTCGAGCGGGGGGGGACACCCCGACCCGGCGGGCCGCCCGGCAGCGCGGGATATCACGCCCCCGGGGTGAGAACATCTACAGCGGGCCGAGGGCCGATATTGGACAGGTGGACCACGGGCCCAGCGGTTGCCCACGAGTCAGCAATTGTCAGCGTGCCACTGCTCAAGCTCCCAAGGACGGGGAGCAGTGGGAGCTGGGCACCAGAAAAGAAGCACTGCCTGCAAGTCGATCGGCGGCCACAGCGGGGAACGCGGCGGACACGTCTAGGGTGACGCAAAGGGGGGGACAGGTGGACCACGGCCCCGGCGGAGGCCCACGAGTCAGCATGGTCAGCAGTCCGTAGCCCCTGCCCGGAGGGCCTGAACGACGGGGGCTGGGCAGGGAGTGGCCCCATGGAAGGAGCACTGCCTGCGAGTCAGGCGTCGGCCACAGCGAATGCTGGGTGAGTCGCGTCCAGGGTGATACATGCGGGGGCCGCCGCTGGAGGTCCCCGCCCAAGCCCCTAAACAAACACAGGTCGGAGGTCCAAACCAAGGATAGCGAGAGACCACGGCGAGCTGTGTGAGTGA